TTCTGAGTGTTTTATGTGCTGCAGAACAGGAACCTGCTGTAAAACAGCAATTATGCTGAGTCAGGCTTGATTTTTAATAATCTTTGCCTGTTAAATAAATAAATCTAATCTAATCTAATCTAAAGTTAAATAAATAAATGAAAGTTACTTTTGTTGGCAGCACACTTGTAATTTTGGCAGGTGTTCGGCCTGTAACTTGATTTGTCTGCGTGAAAATAAAAATTTCAATCGCAGCTGATTTAAAAAATGTTTGAATAGTTTCTGTGTGATTTAGTCTTAAGCATCTTTTTTTGTGAATCAAAACCTGTCATAGAAAAAACCTTAATAGTAGATGAAGGATATGACAACAATAACGGATGAATAGAAAATGGGAAAAAAACTGAATAAGACAATGATTGCCAAGGAAGCAAAAAATTGAAAAAGAAGAAAAGCATAAAATAGTAAGAAATCAGCAATAAAACATTAAAAAATAAGAACATTTTAAAATGACACTAACAGAAAAAGAATACAATGACATTGAAGAAAACAAGGACTACCGTTGGTTCTGTCTTCATCTTTCCTTCCTCAATAAAATAACTTATTGCAGTCAGTTCTGGTTGAAGAGTTCTGGACTTCATGTTAGGGGCATAAAGCTGAAGACGAGCGACCTGCAGACTCATCACCATCATGACTAAACAGCTCTAAACCTGCCCGCTCATACAGAGCTGCTCATGCAGAGATGAGGCTGAGCAGCAGCCACGCCTCCGGCTCTCTGAGTGTTTCTGAAGCTGCATCGCTCTAACAGACTGAAGTGATGAAGATGGAACCAGCGCCTTCATTGTTCGCCTGGTTTATGGCTCACCGTGCAGTGATGCGTTCACTGTCAGGAAAAAGATGCTGCTGGCTGTGTTACTGCTGCACGAACAAATATTTATTTGCACTCATTAGCACTGGTTTTGTCATCCCTCGGGAAGCTGTCTTGCCTAATTGCCATTTTCTCAATTTATCTTACAGTTTGGTTGTGTCTTTACTCATTTTAGCACCAAGTTTTGCACATTTTTTTAAAAACTGAATTATTTTCTATGGTGTTTATGAACACAATCTCAAGGCTCAGTCATGAAGAGAAGGGTGTCAAATATGGGGAATGTCAGTGTTTTAGCAGATGTCGTGGTTCTTTTGATGTGTTCAAACTATGACTTTCAGGATACTCTTACAGTTCACAGCTGAGAGTGAGGAGGCTGGGTTAATGTCCAGTGCAAGAAGCAGCAGGAATACACATTCTGGGTTGGAGAGGAGGTTTTTACTCAAGTGGAGGAGTTCAAATATCTTGGGGTTGCTCCTGGGGACGATTAGCATCTTGTTTTGTAGTCAAGTTTTGCCTTTTTGTACTTGCTTTATCCCATTCTGTTGGTTTGCATTTGTTGTTTGCATCTGTTTGTGAAGAGGTTGTCCTTCTGTTCCGTGGTACGCCTATGTTGTCCCATGGTTCAAAAGTACTGTAATACAAATGAAAAAAAAATACTGAAATAAAATATAGGCATTGCACCAGGGAACACAGGTACTGTATAGGTAGGTTTCCTGTAGCACCTATGTTCACTGGTACCTATGTTCACTGGTACCTATGTATGGAAATTATACACTTAACAAAAAAGTGTGAAACAACTGAAAATATGTCTTATATTCTATGTTCTTCAAAGTAGCCACATTTTGCTTTGATTACTGCTTTGCACACTCTTGGCATTCTCTTGATGGGCTTCAAGAGGTAGTCACCTGAAATGGTCTTCTAGTGTTGTAGTACTTGAAACCGGTCTTGGTCTTAAGACTGGTCTCAAGACCATTTTTTGATGGTCTTGGTCTCGTCTCGGACTTGACAGCATTTGTACTTGGTCTTGTCTTGGTCTCGGACATTGAGGACTCGGAATTTTATTTCAAGACCAGTCAAGACCACAACTGTGGAAATATCACTAAATAGCCAGATTATTGTCCAATTTATTAGTTAACATTCTTGCTTTCATTTGATTTAAAATGTAGCTAAAGATTCAAATCCAAACCTGACTCATTGTTATTTATGTATTTTTGTTACCGGCTTTCACCCATCTGCACCCACCGTCACGCAGCACTCCAGGAAAGTAAGCAGTGGTTCTCTGGGAGCGGTAAAGGATGTCTTCAAAATTTTAAGTAAAAAATTTGGCTACATTGTTCACAAATAATATCATTAACCAGGATCACAACCAGGAGAAATCATACAGCAACTTGTACATTCAGCAGTGCTTCACTTTCAGTGACGGTGGGGACAACGTTCAGCTTTTACCATCACTAACGTAACAATCTGCCTCTGTAGCAAAATTCTTTCCTCTGCCCTCACACAAAGATTTTGTCAATATTAGCTCTATATATGAAGTTAGCTAAAGTGGGGGGGGGGGGGGGTATTTAGCCAGCACCAGTTGTTCAAGTTCTCCCACTTAAAAAGATGAGAGAAGCCTGTGATTGACATCATAGTTAGAACTCAACTATGAGAGACAAAATACATTTCCCCCACTGTACATGTGTACAGAATACTCCATCTTTTAGGACACATATTTTTTCGTCTGGTCTTGGTCTTGTCTCAGTCTCGTCCTCCCTCGGTCTTGGTCTCGACTTGGTCCAAACCCCAAAAGTCTTGGTCTTGTCTCAGTCTTGAGACACTGTGGTCTTGGCCTTGACTTGGTCTCGGGTTAGGTGGTCTTGAGTACAACACTATGGTCTTCCAACAGTCTTGGAGTTCCCAGAGATGCTTAGCACTTGTAGGCACTTTTGCCTTCACTCTGTGGTCCAGCTCACCCCAAACTATCTGGATTGGGTTCAGGTCCGGTGACTGTAGAGGAGGTCATCTGGTGCAGCTAGATGACCTGGCTACTTTGAAGAATCTAGCAGTGAACTGCGGTGAGGTTCATGGATGGTGAGGCACTCAGTTCATCAGAATCAGATTTACAAATACAGAACAACTTATTCACCATATGACTGGCAGAAGTTAATGAGTTGTTTCATATCTCATTTCAGTGTTCTTTATACAAACTGCAGCTCATTTGATGCACATTTCATTAAAACAAAGTTATGTCCTACCTTTACTTACAACTTCAGCCCATGAACCACTCGCAATATCCCATCTGAGTGCAGATACTGTCACAAGTAGAAAAATGGCAGGTGAAAAAAGTGTCTCTCGGGACCTCCACACAGTGTCCAACTGCTTCAGAAGAGTTTTAGTCTCAGCTGTGGTGTGGCTCTTATTTACCTGCTGCTTCCAAGTCCAGTTTAGAAAATAGTTTGAGCTTTAAAATATAGAATCCTGCATTCAAAAAGTCAGGTTTGGCAAAAGAGGAAACAAATGTACAGTATCTCTACAGCACTTTACTTTTTACTTTATAAACTGAAACTACAAAACAGGTACCAAAAACACTTGCTAACTGTAACTTTTTGTTGCTTCTTCTGCAGCTAACCTCTGCTGCAGCTCATGCATTCTCTGAGCTCACAAATGCCCCCTACTGAGGCTCGCCTCCCCTTGTGTCATTTCTCAGTCATTTCAGCTCACAGAACACGTTACACAAATACATATTTATATAATGAACATCAGATAAACTGTGGAATGTCAGGTGTACATAAAAAACAGAAACATTTTACTGGCGACATATAGAGACATTTTCTGCTCTCAATACATAACATACAGGAGGGATTGTGCAATCCAAGTGGAGATGGAGGGTGGTTGGAAGGACTGTGCAATTTGGAGGCGGAACTTGATGAGCCTCCCTTAGTCGGTAGTATTCAAGAACATACACTCACACCGGCCACTTTATTAGGTACACCTTACTAGTACTGGGTTGGATGCCCTTTTGCCTTCAGAAATGCCTAAATCCTTCGTGGCATAGATTCAACAAGGTGCTGGAAGCATTCCTCAGAGAGTCTGGTTCATATTGGCATGATGGCATCACACAGTTGCTGCAGATTTGTCGGCTGCACATCCATGATGTGAATCTCCTGTTCCACCACATCTCAAAGGTGTTCTATTGGATTGAGATCTGGTGACTGTGGAGCCATTCCAGTACAGTGAACTCATTGTTGTGTTCAAGAAACCAGTCTGAGATGATTCACGCTTTATGACATGGTGCGTTATCCTGCTGGAAGCAGCCATCAGAAGATGGGTACACTGTGGTCATAAAGGGATGGACATGATCAGAAGATGGTACACTGTGGTCATAAAGTGATGGACATGGTCAGCAACAATACTCAGGTAAGCTGTGGTGTTGACACAATGCTCAATTGGTACTAATGGGCCCAAAGTGTGTCAGGAAAATATCTCCCACGCCACTGCACCACCACCACCAGCCTGAACCGTTGATACAAGGCAGGATGGATCCATGCTTTCATGTCGTTGATGGCAAATTCTGACCCTACCATCTGAATGTCGCAGCAGAAATCGAGACTCATCAGACCAGGCAACGTTTTTCCCAATCTTCTATTGTCCTGTTCTTAGCTGACAGGTGTGGCACCCGGTGTGGTCTTCTGCTGCTGTAGCCCATCCTCCTCAAGTTTGACATGTTTTCATTCAGAGATGATCTTCTGCAGACCTTGGTTGTAACGAGTGGTTATTTGAGTTACTGTTGCTGTTCTATCAGCTCCAACCAGTCTGGCCATTCTCCTCTGACCTCTGGCATCAACAAGGCTTTTGCACCCACAGACCTGCTTCTCACTGGATATTTTCTCTTTTTCAGACCATTCTCTGTAAACCCTAGAGATGGTTGTGGGTGAAAACCCCAGTAGATCAGCAGTTTCTGAAATACTAGGTCCAGCCCGTCTGGCACCAACAACCACGTCACGTTCAAAGTCACTTAAATCATCTTTCTTCCCCATTCTGATGCTCAGTTTGAACTGCAGCAGATCATGTTGAACTTGTCTACATGCCTAAATGAATTGAGTTGTTGCCATGTGATTGGCTGATTCAACATTTGTGTTAATGAGCAGTTGGACAGGTGGACCTAATAAAGTGGCCGGTGAGTGTAGGTACTGGTGAACATAAGTACTCAGGAACATAGGTCCCGGGGAACTTGGAAACTGGTGAACATGGGTACTGGGGAACCTAAGCCGTTAAGAACATCAGTCCAGGGAAACAAAAATACTTGGGATCATAAGTTCTGGGGAATATTCAGTGGGGAACATAGGTATTGATGGACATGGGTACCTGGGAACATAAATACTTAGGAACATAGATCTTGACTTGGGTACTGATGAACATGGGGTCTGGGGAGCAAAAGTACTCGAGAACATAAGTCCTGAAGAACATAGGTACATGGGAACCTCAGGAACATTGAGGAATATGGGTACTGAGAAACACAGGTCCTGAGGAACACAGGTCCTGAGGAACATAGGTGCATTCCTGCTCCTGTTTACATTTCTTTCAATAGTTTAGACCTTTGTTGTTACGTTGCTCATGCTGTATCCCAGTGTTTTTATTTCCTTTTTTTGTCATTTTGTAGTGTTTGTTTTGTTCTGTAGATTTATCTTTTCGGGCTTGTTTTGCATTGCTGTCTTGTGTGGATGAGAAACTGCAGTTTTTCTTGAGTTTGTGTATCGTACAAGCGATGAGGAGTGTTTGACCTTAAGCTTTTAATCACACATTGACAGTGACAATTTTTAGCACATCGTATAGTTAGAACAACTACAGAACTCATCAAATAACATGTTACATTTACCTTATTATTAAGTAGAAGTTTGGTTGAAGTTTACTGTTTGTAACTCAGAGTAACTCCACAAAATCTCACAAGAACTGATGAGAAAAACAAGATTTTATTCCCAGGTTCCTCCATTATTTCAAACACTTGCCCTCTTTTATCTAACAGGCTTTAACAGTAGCAGCGGGCTGCACAGGCCTGGTGGCTTTGTGCCTTCACAGCTCAGTGGTCTTCATTAAGACGATGAGTAAGAAATTATCTGTTCAGCATCCCACTGTCAATTTGCCTTGCAGCCGTGAATGTTCCCACGGTCTGCTGGCAGTCCCTCTTGCACACAGATTCATCAGACAAACCTCTCAGTCTGCTCTGTCACTCTTCACTGCAGTTCTTAAACGGATGGAAACTTAATTAGGACTATCACTGTGTGAGCAAAGAAAACACAACAGAGAATAAAACAGAGAAGAAGGTTTTTTTATTTTTGAGAAAAAAATCTTCATCTTATTTTTAGTGTTCAGACTTTTCACTCATCTCTCCTGCAGGCGTTTGGATCAATGTGAAAACCCATATTTGATTTCCACAGGCTGGAAACAAAAAGAGGTTTAGCTCCACGCTGTTAGAAAATGTGATCATGTCAAACAGCATTTGTTGAAATTCCACAGCTGAACAGCTCACTGACTAATTTCCCTAAAAGCCACAATCAGAATTACTGCTGATGAAGCGGAGCTGCTATTCTTTTTTTTTTTTTTTTTTTTTTTTTTTTTTTTTTTTTTTTAAAATGTATTTTTATTCGGTTTTAACAACAAAATACAAAATGACCAAAGGTATATG